GCCTGCTGTTAAAAGCAGTACCAAGAACTCAAAGCCGTGCTCTTGTTTTAACCACTTTAACCGGGCCGCCGTCTATAGACTACTGCGGCCTGGAAGTGGTTAAATAAAAGGTTGTTTTGTTTATTATATTGGCTTATTTTTACAACTCAAATTATTTAAAATCCATGAACCTAATTAAACTGTTTAATATAATACATACAATTATTAAAAAGATATATGCATATCTTTTTAATAATTGTATGTATATAAATAAAGGTGGGAAAAGTCATTTTAAGTTTCGGCCTGACAAATTTTGCTGCAGGAGGTGCGTTGCAGTGCCATTCATTTCAATGGATCCCAAATGCACCTCCTGTCTGCAGTGTGATCGCCCGCACTGGAACGCGCGGTACTGAAATGCCCTCCGTTCCTGTGCGATATTTTTTTTTATCCGATTAATCGAAGTTAATAATCGGCTAACTAATCGTTTATGAAAATTAGGGCTGCAGCTAACGATTATTTTCATAATCGATTAGCCAATTATTAAGTTAGATTAATCTGATTTTTTTTTTTAAAAGGCTCCAGTGATGGACTACTAGTTTGTATTGAGATTGTAGTCCATCAGGGGAGCAAGCTTGGAGCGGTGGAAGTAAAAAAAAAAGTGTTGATGCATTCCCACCCTGGTTGTGCGAGTTATTTCCCATTGTGTGCTGACATGGAGCTGACAGGGAAACCGGAAAATTGGACTTCATACTTACCGCAATTTTCCTTTCCTGTCGGCTCCATGTCAGCACACAATGGGTTAATCCCATCCCCCTCCTCTCTAACAGGATAGTGACTCATAAATTTGGGCTTCCCAGAATCCCCACTGTTCCGTAACTAGACGATTTCGAAATGGGTGGGAATCCATGTGCTGACATGGAGCCGGTTTCCGGTTTCCCTGTCAGCACACAATGGGAAATAACTTAAAGAGATTACTTGCAAGCTGTCGGTCTGCTTGTCCCTGGTTGCATCCAAGAAACATGATTCACATGCCGTCTTTCCTGGCAGCGCTGTGTTGGGACAAGCCCAACATCCAGTTGGAGGCGGTTGAGGGTGATGCTGACGGGTAGACGATCCGGAAGGACGTCGGTGGTCTCTGGCAGAGTCAGCCGGTTCGGCCCTATGCCTGGAACGTGATCCCTTTCCAGATGGGGATCTGTGCCTTGACGAAGATGAAGACCTCCGAGCACGCCCCGATGAGCGGGAGAGTTCACGAGAAGATCTGGATGGACTGAGACAGCAGAAGAAAAAACTCAGAAAAAGGCCCAAAATGTAAAAGAAATTTTTTTTTAAAACTTTTTTTTTTCCAAAAACTAAAAGTTGGGAGCCGCCGCCTACCTTCTTTTAGAATGCTGGTCTTCTTGAGGGGTTGACTTTTCAAACGGCATGCTGAAAACACATACGAGTACCATTTAGGAACCACAAATGCTTAAAACCAGAAGGATCCCACTTCAGGGACAGAACATACCTGTAGTGCAGTATGAAGAGACAGTTGGGCAAGGCAGGAGCACACAGAGTGGAAGCTCCAAGTAGCAGCAGCAGCCAACTTGCAGGGGATAGACTTTTTTAAAATCCCCGCCCACTCCGCGGCAAACCGCCGCTAATGTGCATGCGCTGGCCAGACGCCGGCACTTCCACCCAGCCGTGGAGCGCACAGCGTCTCCTGTGCGTTCCACACACACACACCGCCGTGACACTCCGTCGACCTGCCTTGCAGACGAAAAAGTCTAAAGGCTAAAACGGCAACGGCCATACCCCCGACCCTGTACCTGTCACAGGCGCGGTCGTCCTGGATACCAGCAGCGGGATTACGCAGCCCTAAGCCGTTGGAATGGGCACAGCGCAACAACACCCCAGGGCACAGATGGAATGGACAGCAAGAGTTTTACTCCTGCAGGTAGGCAAACGGCTCCATCCTGTAGAAAGAGGAAAAAAGAGGAACAGTGGGGATTCTGGGAAGCCCAAATTTATGAGTTACTATCCTGTTAGAGAGGAGGGGGATGGGATTAACCCATTGTGTGCTGACATAGAGCTGACAGGGAAAATAATTTTTGCATGTTGTCGACAGGGTAACTGGGGAGCCAGTCAAGTTAAACATCTTCACTGGCTAAACCTTTAAAACTAAATCCATAAGCATTTTAACAATCCAGAAGACATCTGAAGGCTTTGGTGCACCCAAAACATAGGAAGACTTCCCCTTTAATTGCACGTTTATGTAGCCACCCAAGGTGGAGTGTTGTAGGCACTTAACTATAGTAGATATCACACGGTCACTGGAAACATGCAATTAACCAAGACTAGTTTTGTGTCAAACAAAACATCAACTGCTTCACAAACCACTAGAGATTTTATCTGTAAAGCAGGTATATTGTGCAAACATTTGACCAATCCCTAGACCATAAAGGTTTCTTTGATCTATAAGTTTATAGATACAAATAGCACTCATCAAACCCCCAAACCAAACATGTAATACACTGCAGGTTAGCAATCCTCACATGTGGTGCTGCATTAGTTTCCTTTTTCAGGCCTTTATCCCCTTTATTTTCACCTGATAACCTAGCCTGTAATATCTGTGACAGATAAGTCAAGGCAACTGGACCTGCTGTATTTTTCTTGATGTCCAGTTGCCTTGACTTATTTTTTACAGATATACCATTACCTGGATGAATGAGAACCTTCACAGATACTAGCCAGTAATACACTTCCTGGTCTAGGGCAACCACACTGATTTCACTACACTGTATCAAGAAGCACCTCTTCTTCTTATCACCATTACATAGGTAGGGGGTGTTCTGTAGATGTGAAAGCTGATAACACTAACAGGGTTATTCACAAAAGGGTGAAGAGTTTGGAGAAGGCAGGAGAATCTAGGACAATGTAGCGGATTTGGAAAAATTCTCCAATTCAGCTGTGTTGTCCTAGATCAGGGCTGCCCATTAGGTTGATCGCGATCTACCAGTGATCGCGATGTCCTGTCTTCTCTGGATCCCCTGGCTGAAGTGTGCTTTCTTCACTTCTCGGATCCTTCGCTGCCTCTGCCCGGGAGAGCAGCGGGGGATCCAGGAGGAGAAGTTGCAGAGTGAGCCCCCGTGTAAGTGGCCGAGCGGCAGAGGATCAGTACATATCTGCGATATGTACCAATCCTCTGTGCAGGACAAACACTGGAGCGATCAGCTGATCACTCCAGTGTTTGTAA